TCAATTAAATTTTATTATTAACTAGATTCGGTTTCAGTTTTTCCTTTTGGAGGTACAGAACCCTAAAAAGAGCAATGAAAACGGTTTTTCCAAAAATTCCCCCGGCAACATTGTCAAAATAGCAAAATTGCGGAAAATAACTTACGTAATCAATAGAGTCGGTACTTAGGTATTTATTTCTGACAAAGCTTTACAATGTCACACCCTGACAGCTGTAACAATCTGTGTTCTGCTTTAAATAACCTCTGCGAACTGTATTTATACAAAAGTAGGTGAACTGAATAATTATGATCTTTATTACGTTTCTATAGAGTTCAAATACGGGAAGTATATTTGGTTATTTTCGTTGTTGGTATTGTGTGGTTGACGCGACAGGTTAATGAATTTTAATGGGACAGTGAACGCATCACACAAATAGTGCCTACAATAGATTCCCGTGGTGTCATTCAAACTATAATGTAATTCCCATTTTTTACGTAAACAAAGGAAAATAATAAATGTTGGAATTTTGTATGTGTGTTTTGGGAATTTTAGCAAATTTCGGCGTGGTTACAAGTTTAATGATTTTTAATAGGTTTATTATTTAAAAAAATGTTAAGGCCTTTTACCTTTTTCTTTCCCTTTTTTAATTTTTTCTTTTTTTTATTTTATATGGTAAAAAAGTTAAATATCAGTATTTATTGGCTCTGAATTGATTTCACAAATAGGATTTTATCTACTTTGTCTACACACGGAAAGAGAGAAAATAAATAGGAATCAATAGGAACCATTAAAAAAAAATTCAATTAAACACCTAATAAAAATCAATCTATATGTTCATATAAAAGTGGAAATTAGTATGAGTTAGTAAATACACTAATATATAAGTTTGAATAGAATAACGTTCTATTCAAACCTCTGGATGTAATAATATTTTGCACAGGGATTTCTCATAATTGTAATGTAAAAGTGTTCTAAGAAAGATTTTTTTGGTAATTATGTCAGAAATGGCAGATAATTAGCTCCGGCGGGACGAAACTAATACAGATGTGAAATATTTGTAAGTTTATTGCCTTTTAGCGTCAGAACAACTTGTTAATATTTTGCATAAATACGTTAATGGTTCTTATGATGATATAATTTTATAAATTCAGCAATGCACAAAGTACATGTTTGAATAATGCCTTTTTTAAGAGCCTATAATAATATTCCAAAATAATTAAAGAAATACTTGAATCGAGGAGAAAGGGATTGTTAGTAATTAGGTCTAACACTTCCATTGCTAACAACATTCCCTGTCAGGATGTTTACCACGCGATTCCCCTAAAAACCATGGTAGTTAATTTTTTCAAAATTCATCACAATGGGCCAACTGACTTGACTTCATCCTCACCTATCACTGGTGGCCCGCCAGCATATACCAATATCGCAAACGAGGGTAGCATTCCATTTCACCCATAGAAAAATACTTATATCGGCATAATGTATTTATTACGCAACCTACATTATTGTTTTCCTTATTGCATCCCAATTTCGATTTCAACCTACCATAATTGCATAAGTACCTACTTACACTTAGGTAACAATAAAATAAGTAGTAGTCAGTATCAATTTTATTGCTATGTATTTAAAGTCGGTGTTGTTTTAATAGCATTGTTGGCTGGGCCTTATCAAACCAACCGAGTTTACATATTTTTATTGTTACTAATTTACTTTTAACCTTTAGGTATGTGAGTGAATAAGTCCTTTCCTTGAATTTGAGTCACATGTACATGTAAAAATATGGAATTCCTTAATGAGGATAAAATATTTTGATTTGTCATTATATATTTCAACGTAATATCCTAATTTTCTTACATCCACATTTATACGTAATACTATTTAGTCATTAGTTTGTATTGATACATTCAGACATGTAGGGAAAATTAATATCAACAAAAAAATCGAACGAACAAAGAATCGAATCTATCGAATCTAGAGTTCGTATTTTAAAACTTATTAAATTTGTGCGGAAGTTTAGGAACCAAATACTTTTTTTTATCCTTTTATGATACAGGTAATGTATCTTTAATACATGTAATGATTTAAAAAAAATCAATAATTCAATGCCCTAATAAATATATTTATAGATGCTAGAAGAGTTAATGAGATTCTATATCTTAGATTATATATATATTGTCTCTATAGAAATGCTTCGAGAAAAAGGGGTCAATTTTTTATACATTTTTATGTGATAAATAGTTATGAGTGATTAATTTGTAACTTCTATATTTATTTAGTCTTATAATTTCTGCATCTTTTTAATGAGTAAACACTCATTTTATTTATTAAATAATACGTCAATATATATTTTATGCGTAAGTATATAGAACATTGATTAAAAAATGAATCAGCTAATTTCATACTTAGCTGACAGAAAGTTGACCCGTATTTGAGGCTTGATATTCTATCTATATAGGGAGGAAAGGGATTGTTAGTGATAGAGACTGAGAATCCTATTGCTAGCAATATACCCAACCAGGTCGACCTCCTCGCGGTTCTCCCTGGAAACTCTCATGGTTAATTCCTGATGAATTCATCATGATGGGCTAACTGGCCTGTTTTCATTCTCATCTATCACCCTTCACTGGTGCTCCGCCAGCGTATCCCGTTATCCCATACCATTTTCACTCATCAAAAAAAACTCTATCTATATAATGTAAGTACTATATATACTTATAGATGCTAGAGAGGGAATGATTCCAGTTGTTTTGAGAAATAAAATAAAATAATCGCTGAGCTCCTAAAGAAAATTGATTAAACTTTATACATTATTTTGTATTTGGTGAAAATGGAATGTTAGCCCCATCTGCGTTATTGCTATCCGCTGACGAAGTACCAGCAAAAGATGAAGTCAGGTCAGTTGGTTCATCGTGATGAATTCATGAAGAATTAACTACGATGGTTTCCAGGGTGAACTTAGTGGAGATAAACCTGTTAAGGTAAATTGCTAGTAGTGGGGCTATTAGATTCTATTATTTTTCTTCCAAAATTGACAATGGAATTAACAATACAACTTAGAATGGCAAACAAGCTGACGACCCACCTGATGATGAGTGGTAACTGTCGCCTATAGATACGAACAGTACCATGGACATAACAAACTGTACTGTGTCGCTCATGATATCTCATGTGTTGCCATTCTTGAGGACTAAGGTGTTATGCCTCTAAACTCTGTCATTTTATATTCCACGCTTTAAACTGAAATACAGATACTTATGTAAATACAACTGCTTCACGTCAGAAAAACATAAATGGTACAGAGGTACCCAAACAAATGACTTTTGTACAAAGTCTGTCTCTGAATATTTGCATGAGACTCTTGTGGTTCGAAACTTAACTTTAGGAGTCCTGATCAGTATATATATGTACTGCTAAAAAGGCCGAGAGAGGTCAAACGCACAATAAATGAATTTTTGCGACAAATAAATTTGTAAAGGGAATTTTTTATCGATAAAACTTGAAATTGAGGAAATTGCCTACAATTAAGTTTGCAATAAATAAGATTCTTATACTACTATACTATACTTAGAATTTTATATAATATACAATGTTGACCATATCGGTCTAATGGTTTAACACATCGCTTTGCATTCCGATGGTCATGGGTTCGATCTCGCATAATGTAAACATTTGCACTGATAAGTATGTTTGCAGATGCTAGTTTGTATTGGTCTGGGTGTTGTCTATGTATGTATAAAACATATATTTATAACCAAAAAAAGGATTTAAGTATAGATGTACAAATGTTTGGTGTCTATAGCTAAGCTAAGTTTGAGATTAGATGGAGCAGTGTAATACATGTCTACTGGTTTTAATTAATTATCTAATGTTCTGTGATGTTCATATCTTTGGATGGTGGCTACTATTTTCCATAAGGCAGGTCGTGTCCTTCATTACCATTCTAATCGTACAAAAAAATCAGACACTATATTATTACGATTACTATAGTTTTCATATGATTTTGGTAGTGCAATTTTTTTTTGGATTATTGGATTGATAATTGTCATTACATAATTTTTGTTTTATGTCTCTAATTAATTAAATGTGTAAATGCTTTTTAAGTTACTACAAAATTTAAAGAAAATATAAATAGGTAAAAAATATTATAAATAGGTAAAAAATAATAAACTATAATTATTTATTCAAACTATATTTAAATATTAATGCATGCAATAGGAGGTTACCGATTGGAATGTGTAAATAAAATTAGATGCGATAAAAATACTTGAAGCGTGACATACTCGTATTTAGGAGGTGTTAATATTATACAATTTTACACTTTAAATTGAAATGGAATTTTACACATTAAATTGAAATTTTCCAGAAAATCACAAAATGCAAAATAATTAGGAATATGTATTGTGTGATTATAATAATTACGTTTTATATAAACTAATAGAGTTTTACCAGATTTTGTGGAATCCACTTAAAATAATTGGCAATTTTAGCGTCGTGCAAGGTCGGAATGTCGTAAAGATTAATTTTATGATCACTTTATGTCACTAGCTATGTGGTGAGGTCGCCTATAGATTATCAGTATTCATATATATAGTAGATGTTTGGTAATTGTATACAACACAGTAATCCCGATATAAGAATAATATTTAATGCACTAAGTAACAGTGTGTGTATTTGGCTAAGACAATTTATTTCAAGTGTGTAAAAACTATCTTATCTTATTCTTATGTTGACTACGTATATAAAATATTATCATATTACTGATCAATCAATTTATGTATGATAAAGTAGTTTCTTTTAAATGACAGTTAAATAAAAAGAAAATCGATTGCCACATTAGAAAATACTTCACTTTTTTAAAATAGTTTTAGAACAGTTTCGAACAAATACGACACGTGAATAAAAGATCAAAGCAAAGTGTAACGATTGTCTTGCCGGCATTAGCACCTAGAATAAAGCATGAATCTTTTATGTTTCACGTAATTTAAGGGCATATCGTGATCGGCTATGGTAATACTTACAAGTCACAATGTATTTCAGTGTCACGACGAGTTTCGCGCGCGTTCGCCTTCAGTTCTATAGTGATTGGTTACTTAAACGCGACAGTTTGGCCGCGACACGTGTTGTCTGTCCACGGTACAATAGAGTACTGACTTGTTTACTACGCCCGCCGCCCGCCCGCCCTACGGTAGAAGCCCTATCGGATAATAGTATGGATAAAGGGGTAACCATACTGCGGGGTTCTCAAACTTTTTCATCGCCTGATCACCTTTGAAACATAAAATATTTTATGGGGATTTAAAACAAGAAAAACTTGGTTTTATGCTTGCTTTTTTATGACATCTTTTTATTTAATTGTTTTACTGTATTTTAAGTACACATGAAAATATACAATGAGAATTGGTTCCTTCATCACCATATCTTTCCTTTCCCGTGGATGTCATAGACTGTGGCTAATGAGATTTAATGGTCGAGGGTGGGGCAGCAGCGTCCCTCTAAAATAAATAAAATATCACCAAAGCCTAACTATGGTTGTTAACCTGCCTACCAAGCGTGGTAAACCACCAAACCAAAACCTCTCTTATGGGTGAGGTTTTTGTTCAGGAAAGACCAGTTAATGATATGATGATGATGATAAAACTAAAATAAAAGTATGAAGTCCATCGCATTTTTTAATATAGTTTTGAAAACTTCAGATAAAATATAATGTTTTTGTTAATTGATAAAATATAGAGCAAACTGATGTGTCCTAAAGATAATACAACGGTGAATTCCTCGGTCTTTCCCTTACAATCTCGTACAGCAGATTTAAGAAGCTCATCTTCCTCGAAGCACACTTTGAGAACATCTGTACACTGACTTTTAGTATGTGAGTTAGGTAGTGTAGCTAACCGTGTTTGGTATACAATGTTGAAGTCCCAGAATGTAGACCTACCTACATTCTGTAACCGGTAACGACTCTTTGGATGCCTTATGTAGCGAACACTATTTTATATATTTTTTTTGTAGTCCATGTTTAGATGCGATTTTTATGCAATTTAGAATAGCAAATAAGTTGATGGACCACCTAATGGACAGTGGTAACCGACGTCAATAAATATGAACATCATACCACTATGATGCTCATGAACTTAACCTTTGTTTCGTACTTTGTAACTTCACTGCCATAATTTACTTTTCAAGTAATGATTATATGTTTTTATAACACAAAGGGTAAACAAGCATACGGCTTAGTTGATGGTAAGTTACTATAGCCATCCATGATCACCCACAACATTAGAGGCATTGCAGGTGTGCTTACGGTCTTTTACAAAGGAATATGCTCTTTTCTTCAAGGTCACGATGTCGTATTCATTTGGAAATACCGCTACTGGGAGTTGATTCCAAATTTGTAACATAATATTTTTTAACTCTACTAAAGGTTTTGAAAATTATCGTCGATCATCCGTCTTACTAATATAATAAAACTGAAATAATATAATGTCTGTACATGGAAGATGAAAAAAAAAAGAAATGAAATGTTGATATGAGCAACACAGATCAAAACAATAATTTTTAAATTTCGTCTGCTTGTATGTTTGTTCTGGCATCACAGAAAAATAGTGTACTAAATTGGACGCGGTTTTCAAAGTTGTATTACTTATCATATATTTAATTTGAAATGTCTTTGAAGGTCTTAAAATTTGGTGTACGTTTTGTCTTCATATGCCTTTTAGAAATGGTTAACTTCTTTAGTGTGGTCAAAAACTAGTTTTAATATATTTACAAACGCAAAGTAAACCCACGATTGCTTCCAAATAGTCGTATAAATGTATAATAAAAAGCATTCATACGCAAAATGATATTAAAACCCTTTCTTCTATAGGAATATATGTCGAGAATAAGGACAACAAATTTAGAGCTCTAATAGTTGAATATATATTTATTTATACTTTTGCATACATTAAAATATGTCAACAGGACGGACTCTACCAGCTAATTATTACACTAAACAGAAAGAGAGTAAATGGCGGTGTATTCGTCTAACAAAGTCAATTTGTACATGAAATAAACATTTAGTGTTAGTATGGCAGGCATAAAAACCTTTTAGATTTTAGACCCATGCTTCTTTGGAAAAAATATTTAGTTACTGGTAAAACACTAATGATTACGAATTCTGTATTAACTGGCATTATTACCAAAATTTTAAATTGTTCAAAAGTAGACGTATATATAAGTCATTACTGAATTTTATTGTAAAGTATTATGTTCATTTCTAAATAAGATAGAACTGGTAGTCTGTGTCTACGAGTATATACATCTGATATTAAATTTATGAATATAGGTATCATATGGGTATAAAGTTAAAGAAACGTAGAAATGATGATTTTTCTTAATCTACATTAATATAATAATGACATAGTGTAAAGAGTTTTCATAAGTAGATTTCTTTATACTATGACAATAAAATAGAAAACGGGAGAGTTTATTTGTTTATTAAACGCGCTAATCTCTAGAATTATCGGTCGGACTTGAAAAATTATTTTTACATTTCATTTCTTGAGGAAAGTTATTACGGAGCAATACGATACAAGTATGGATGAAACCACGGAGTAGGTATAACCAAAATCATATATATTTTAATATAATTTACATTATGTTTCAACATTATATTTTGTACTCCCTGTAAGTAATCTGTTGTTTTAATTTGTCTGTTATAATAATCTATTAACGTCCTACAGTTAGACGAGATTTTCTCAGTCTTTAATAAGAATATGGTGTGATAATAGTAGGAGTCGTGTGGTCCTGGTATAGAACGGACCACCCTTTCTTTTACCGTCTACTCGATAATGGAATGGTAACCCCGTCTGCGTTATCGGTATAGTCTAGCGGGGCACTAATGAGGGAAGATAGGTGAGGATGAAAGCAGTTCAGTTAGCTCGTCGCGACGAATTCCACAAGAATTAAATAAAATGGTTTCCAGGTGTGAAAATTGAGTTGATAGGATATATTTCTAGCAATGGGGCTATAAAAACCCCTATTACTAGCAATTCCTTTCCCCAGTAGTAGATATTATTAGGCATCCCACAAATAGGGGCCTGGGTCTCTTTAAAAGTCGAATATGTATTCTTAGACATGTCTTTTTGAAGCTTCGCTCGCATCTAGGAGTGAACACCAGCCAATTCTGGATTGTTTTCAATCAGAATTTTAAAGGTATGTCTGGAATAATTAAAATCTCATATTGATTTCTATATTTGTATAGAATATCGAATGCAGGAAAATAATTATAAAAAATATATTGCGTTGCGTGACCACTGTATTGAATTTATGATGACTAGTCCATTTTAGGGATTCAATGTAGCTCCACGATAATAGATTCTGGGGGGGAAAGGGATTGTTAGTAATGGAGACTGAGAATCCCATTGCTAGCAATATACCCAACCAGGTCGATCTCCTCGCGGTTCCCCTGGAAACTATCATGGTTAATTCCTGATGAATTCATCATGATGGGCTAACTGGCCTGTTTTCATTCTCATCTATCACCCTTCACTGGTGCTCCGCCAGAGTATCCCGTTAGCGCAGGCGGGGTTACCATACCATTTTTATCCATCAAAAATCAAAGATATTAGATTCTATAACTCTTGAAAGTATAATGTAATTTATCGCGTCAGGATTAATCAATTAATAGTAAGTTACAGATTGAATAAATTACTAATATGAATGTGTTATAATATGTTAATTTTAGTATGTATGTATATTAATTATTACCAGTATTGCACTCGAGTATTCTGACACTTCCCTATGGCTGACTGGGAAACAATGCTTTTAGCAATAAGTCTGCCATGTAAACATACATGTTACTAAGCATACAAATATATTAATGAATAAATATATAAATAAATGTGAAAGTGTGTTTGTTGGTTTGTTCGTTTTTTTTTTGGTGGATGAAAATGGAATGGTAACCCCGCCTGCGCTAACGAGATACGCTGGCGGAGCAACAGTGAAGGGTGATCGATGAGAATGAAAACAGGCCAATTAGCCCATCGTGATGAATTCATCAGGAATTAACCATGATAGTTTCCAGGGGGAACTACGGGGAGGTCGACCTGGTTGGGTATATTGCTAGCAATGGGATTCTCAGTCGCCATTACTAACAATCCCTTTCCCTCCATTTTCAATTCCCTTTTCCTGTGTTCGTTACCTCTAGCGCGTTAACGGCTTAACTGATCACTATAAAATTTAATATACACGTAGGTATTATGGAGTGAGATGGAGAAGGATATAGGCTACTTTTTATCTTGGTCAGTGAACATATTATGGACAAGCGGATGAAGTCGCGGATGAAAGATAGTAAAAACATGTTATGTTTGATCGCGAGAAGGTATCAATAATGTTTATTAGATTTAACTAAATATAACTTTCCTCGTAATAAAGAAGTTGTTTTCTACAAAAAAAAAAAAAAAAAACTGTCTTCATGATTTTGATAAAATTTCTACGAGACTAATCTGTAAGTATATCCTTTCAAATAAATAAGAATTTTCCGATTTCGTTTAAAACTCGGAAAATTCTTATTTACGGTTTGGTTTAGGATTTTTTATGGCGGAGTTATAACAAACAAAAAAAAAGGAAAATAAAATACAACCGAATTGAGAACCTCTTTCTTTTTAAAGTCGGTTGAGATTGTCACTGAATTGTAAAGTTCTTTCAATGTAAAAGTCTAGATAGTTTTAATTAAAAACATAGATCTTACTTAGTAAAAAACAAGATTTTACTTTATTTGTATGTAAGTCTCACCGTTCGAAATTTGCAGTCTATTTTTTCATTAATGATTTGTTTATTGCATCGTTACTAGATATTTATAGTTGAGATGCTTATTAACATACATTTGTAATATGTTATAGGTTTTAGGAATCGTTGATTACTTATTTTTTTTTTTAATTATGACATAATGTGTGGGCAGGGTATAAGGAGTGGAACTTTCCTAACTTCTTTACGTGCTAGATTTAAAATTATTATTTACATTTATTTAAATATTATGTAGAGGTATTATTTTAGCATGCTAAGAATTGAAGATTACACATGCGTTTTATGCACTACAATTCTTTTTTGTGAAATTAAAGAAGTTTACTTCATAAAATATTTGTTATTGTATAAGGAAAAAGATTATGTTGGTAGACTGTAGGTTTTAGACAAAAGAGGGGCCTATTTTAAAAAAAAAGATCTTATTAAATGAAAAACGATTTTACAGTTTTTTTTTGGATCATCATTATCATCATTACAGCCTTTAACTATCCATTGTTGAACATAAGCCCTTGGGGGGGGGGGGGGGGGGTAATAGTTGCCATGCTTAGCAGGCGGATTGGCAACCGTAGTTAGACTTTAGAAATGTTTTAAGAGGGACGCTGCTGTCCATCCTTTGCCCTTCTTTAGTCACCTCTTATGACACCCAAGAGAAAGAAATGAGTGACCTTTTGTATGCCGGGACACCACGGCCGATTTTTTTCGGATAATTGTATAAAAATAACGTATCACTTTAAAACGATAACATTATACAAATGTAAAATTACTTTCAAACGAAATTATTATTTTAAAAAACTGTCAAATTGGTTGTCATTCGAATTATCCTAATCTTTTATACAATCCATCATTGTTTGTGACAAAAAATCCATAGTACAATTTAAGTAAGCTATAATACATATAGCAGTGTGCGCGATGGAATTACTGATTAATAATCGATAACAATCTACTAATGATCCATTGTTCGCTGTATGTACCTATTGTTATTCATTGCAAACTACTTGTACGTGCGTATGGGAATAGGAAACGGGCACTGAATTCTGATCGATGAGCTAGAGTAGCTGCCAGGAGTCAACGGACCTCCAGTGTCAAACGATACCAATCTATTGGTATTTACCCTTCGGATTATAAAAATCAATTTCCAATTAATAAATAATCCACGCACACAGCACATCTAGTCCCAAACTAAGTAGAGCTTGTATGTATTCTGAGGTAATTGATGTTTAGGAGTATAGTAGATATCTCAGTATTTATGGCGTATATTGAATAAGTAATTATCTCTAAATGTTGAATTAGGTTCCGTATATTTAGAAAATAAAATTTATAATAAAATTTTAATAAAAGAAGATCACAGACGACAGGAAAAATAAAGGCTGTTAAAAAAAATAAACGTAAGAGGTTTTATTCTTAAACGATAGACAACTGATAAAAATAAGGAGTTCCTCCTGGTAATCATCGTGGTTAGTTTTTGACAAATACGCCATAATGATAACTGAAGATTTTACTTTTCAATTCTACCTACCATCCTTTACTAGTGTGCTATTGGTATGCACTATTTATATTATATTACCTTTAATTAAAAAGTAAACCTCTAGAAAAACCTCGAAATTGCATTTATCAATCTGACAAGTTTTGCATTATTTTCTTTAGATACAGTAGTAAATATGTGCACGTAGATTCTTGCATTACTTACACTGTTAATAAAAGTGTTCTTCTTAAATAAATCTAATTGTATTCTTTATGTTTCTAATTTACATGGAACCGTATAGCGATTGTATAGTACGTCTATTGAGCGTGTAAATATTGATTGTTTATTGGTGGGCAAGTTTTATAAAAGATAAAATACTTAAATGCATTTCATGTGGTCATTGATGATAACATTATACAACATATTGTTATAGTTTTTAGATTTATAATAAATCCAAGTAATGCTTTTTATTTATTCTTGGTATTTGATTTGATTTAAATAATAAAATAGCACATTTTATAGTCTGTTATACTTAATTCTTGAAGTTTTCATTATACATATATATGTTTCATCATATTTACACATACATCTAATAAAATAATTTGCATTATATATTTATATGTAGATAAGAGACTTTATCTACTACTAGTCAAAATACCACGACTACGAGTCAAAATGCTTAGGTAAAAACAGCACAATTTTTTTTATTGTAAAAAATAATTTTATATTTCGTTTTAACTTTTCGCAGTTCCGATTGTTTGAAGAAATAGGTCCAACTTTATTAGTGCTATCGTTGGCCATTGTTTGTATAACAAATATTTACTAATATTACTGCTTTGGGACAAGGGATTCTTAGGAAGTAGGATTCATTGTTGCTTTTGTGTTTCCGAAGAAATACAATCTGGGACTCTTCAAGCCAATAAGTCTGGGTAAGTGCGCTTCATCCTAGATCTTATTATTATTTACTATTTAGGTGAGATAAGATCAAGCGCAACCCTAATTTGTAATAAAAAAAAAGAACTAAAAACATTATATGTCAGTTTGCGGATTGCGTAAAGACGTTGCGTCTCTTTGGGTCTTTTGTCGCATATATCGTGAGAAGTGTTTAAAGGGATTATTCGTATTAATACTAGCCGCTGAATATCATCACTACACAAATCGGCACAAGCTAAAGTTCTATTCTGACCAGTTTCACGTACAACCATACTATAGAAGTAACTTTCAGAAGCAGTATTTCCGAATAGAAATGACATTAAAACCTTCAAGAAAAGAGCCTTTACTTTCTAAAACCCAACGACACAACTGCGATTTCTTTGATGTTTTGGGTGCTTATAATTGATTACCACCCAGGTAATCAGTTACCATCAGGTGAACCGCATGCTAGTTTGCTTCTTATATTATATCTATATACATATATAAAAAAGTTTGACTTTGACGTGGCCCTCCTGGAAATCATCGTGACCTGACTTTATCCTCACCGTTTTATCCACTCCTAGTATTTCGTTATTGTATATCATTAGTATAGGAATGTACCTACTATTCTATTTTCATTCTTTTAGATGCAAAAAAATTATAATTGATATTTATTTATTATTATTATTATTTCTCACCACAAATAAAAAAAATATTAAAAAGCACGACTGCAATACAAAATAAATATTCTTTTGTTTTTTTTCTGCGATATTGATTTTTTTTTCAGTTAATTTTTTAGCCAGTGTCACTCGAAGTGATGTACGGATTCTGACTATGTCTTATACTTCCAAATTTGTTCAGGTATTTAGAAGTTATGGCAGAAAAAACGTACAAACATAAACATTGAAAACATGATAATCCTTTTTTTGGGCAGTCGTGTATAAAGTAGTTTGTATATTGTATACTTATGCAAAATAACATTAAAAATCATTAGTCTTTTGGTTTCCGCAGTCAAAGGTAGGTTGGTAGTTAGTGCAAACCATAGACATAGTATAACGTACTGCGTGCTAGCAGACTGGCAATGCAATCACAAAAATGAGGTAACACATAAAGTGTATGTGATGGCTCGGAATTTATATGGAAATGAAGTTGCAATAATAGCATACATTTATGTATTTGTTATTTGTTTTGAATTCATAGACGTTCAAAACTTTATTTGGATTAAATTAGATATTTTTTCTACCAATTCTTAAACAAAATATTTTTGATGGTTCTATATTGTACAATGTTTTTTTTGCCTAATTTGTTATATCAAGGAACAATATGCTTACCTCTAACCAACTACATTCACTCAAAACTAATTAAACATTAAAATAATAAGAATTTACTTTGTTCATGCTCCTACCAAATCAGCTTCGAGCTTATGTTGTATAGACGAATGTCTTACCTTTCTATTTCTCTCTAATATATGTGATATTCTTAGATTATATAGATAGAGCATCGTATGTCAGCTAATTGTAATTTTTTTTATCAGTGTTCTATATACTTGTCAGCTAATTGTTAAATTAACCGACTCATTTTTTTATGTGTTCATATAGTGTTAATATATGATTTACACATAAAATGTATCTTGACGTATTATTTAATAACTAAAATCAGTGTTTACGCATTCGAAAGACGCAGAAATTATAAGACAAAATAAATATAGAAGTTATAAAGGAATCACTCATAACTATTTTTCACGCCAAATTTTATGTAAAAGTTGACCCGTTTTTCTTCAAGCATTTCTATGGAGACACTCTATCTATCTATATAATCTAAGACGATATTATGTTTCTTCTCTTTTACATTATTAATCTATATACATACTTTATAATGTAAGGTACAAGCTAAGCTAACCTAACGAACAACAGAATCATGTAATGAATTTGTAATGGACACATCGAAAAACGTCTACTTATTTAACTGCGCAGTATTAATTTTTTGTTAAGTTTGTTTTAGTAACATTATATTAACGTACCTATTATATAGATGTGCATAATAATAGGTATCTGCGCATTAAGAGTGTTATTTAATAGGAGGGTTAAATTTATTTTCAACCAACTTCAAAAAAAAAGGAGGTTTTAAATTCGGTTGTATTTTTTTATATTTGTTACTTTATAACTCTGTCTGTTAAGTTATAAACCGATTTGGATCTTTCTTTTTCTCTCTCTCTGAAAGGATAGATTAGTATTTCATAGATTAAACGAAAACGTTTCAGTAGTTAAGTTTTTAAATGAAAATACCAGGTATTTTCTTTAAACGAAACTAAATAAAGGACTCAATGTAAGTAAACAGAAGATTGATAGGAATCAATGAAATTTAATTAAAATATATATAAGCAAATGAATAATTTATCCGACCATAAAAAAGTCAAGTGAGGGTTACTACATACTTTCTATCAGGTGGGCGGTCAGTTTTATCGACGTTATTGTACTCGTAACTATAAGAAAATTGTAAGTTTTACAGCTTAGAACAAACACATTATATTGGAAATATATTTATTTATTATATTATTACAGAATAAAAATCATATTTAAATTTTTAATTACACAATAATTTACACAATAATCTAATAATATTTCTTTAACAATTTGTCAAGTTTTATAAATAAAATATAATTATAAACAAATTCAAAATACCATACGTAAATATTATTATTTCTTATTTTTTTGCAGGCTACAAAAATATAGGTATAAGTCTATATCAGTTACATAAATGTAAGGTCTTTGAAATAAAATTAAATCATTTGCCTCTACAGTATACATTTGTATATAATCTTCATTCTCAATTTGTCAGACTATTTAATTTCTCAAATATATGTTTGTAAATGAAGTCCACAAATCGGTCCCACGAGGTTACGAGGGCTTGGTTGGCTTTCAACTCGGTCTTCAATATATTTACTAATACTGATTTCACTACCTGAAAAAAAAAAAATAACACGTCATGTGAAATACCTTTCGGCCACAGCAGTCAGTAGGTTTAGAAAAAAAAAACATAGTAAAGGGAAACTGTACGAAAATCGTGTGCATTATCCTCTGTTCACTTCTTTTTCTCCACTCGTGTTTTTGTTGTGAAGTAGACATTTGTTTGGGATCTAATCCTTAACTATTGGAGCCCAGGGTACGCAGGTGTACGTGTGGTTATTGTTTATATTGTTTTATTGTTGGGGATAAATTTAATTTAGTTTTGTTTCATGTTAACGTCATTAATTAATATGTCTAATATTTGTATGCCTGTGTTTCGGTTTGAATGGTGGGATTTTAGATTATATAGATAGAGCTTCGAGCCTCAAAAACGGGTCAACTTTTTATCAGCTAATTCTCAAATTAAAACGCATTAAATATATGCAGAAATTATAAGACAAAAATAACAATAGAAGTTATAAAGGAATCACTCATGACTATTTATCACGCAAAATTGTATGAAAAAGTCGAGTCTTTTTTCGAAACATTTCTATGGAGATACTTTATCTATATAATCTAAGGGTTGGATATAGCAGTGAAATTATAGGTTATAACGGCATAATACCTTAGTTCTCACGAAATAGTAATTATGTTTAATTTGATATACCAAAATAATAATACATAATTAGCAGTTAAAAATTGATGTTTGATGTAATTTAAAGAATTATAAGTGACAGCGAATCGATAACGATGTTTACGACACGAAAGCTTGCGGCTGACCTAATAATGACATATACATGACTATAGCTATAGGAAAATGAGGGTAAAGGGATTGTTGATAATAGGGTTCTAATAGTCTCATTACTAGCAATATAACCACACAGTTGACCTTCACGCGATTTCCTCTAAAAACTTTCATAGTTAATTCTTGTCGAAATCATCACGATGGGTTATCTAGTTTGTTTTCGATCTAACTGGTGCTTAGCCAGCGTACATAAATCGATATTCAGCACTAATGCTAGCGTCTATGCTTTCATTACCTATGGTACTAGTATAGTATTATATTATCTGTGCCTATGGGGTCGATTCTAAGCAACGTTAACCTATCTTTTAACTTATTATTTTAATTTATTATTTTGCTGAAAATATACTTTCCCCATAAGGGAAGTTTGCCAGTAGGTGCCACAGTCATAGTTTGCAGGCGGATTGCCAACCGCAGTTTATCTTTGGTTGTGCTTTAAGACAAACGCTTCTGCCCATCCCTCGACCATTAAGTTACCTTAGCACTTCTTACGACATCCACGGCGAAGGGAGTAGTGGAGAGAAATTTTTATTTGATCGTTTTGTATAACTACTGGTTTATGGAATATCACAAACTACCAGAGGGAGACTTTGTATAAAAGTCATCTGTTTGGATAGTTCTATCCCATTCGTGTTTCTGTCGTGAAGCAGTTGTGTTTACATGGCTGTGTTTTGGTTATATTTTTGCTAAATTCCACCCTTTAGGGTTTGGCAATGAAATTACAGGGTACAGATTCATAATACCGTAGTCCTCACGAATGGCAACACATAAAGAGTATCATGGGCGAAACAGTATACATAACAAGTTTTTTGACTTAAACCTATTAGAAATTTTGTTCATATTGGTCCTTGGAACAAAGATTTCGCTGTCTTATGGATAATTTAATTTTAGATGTAGGCATAGAGAAATAGTGCCTTAGAATCGGTTTCATTGTACCTTAAAATGTTTTATTTCTACGTGTCTCCTATGATGTGATTCGCCAAGTTTGTTCATGAGCACGATCACCACCTCAGGTTGATCAAGGCTGACGACCGCCGCGTTGATGGCCGTCATCAAATTGATTGCGTGAGCTCTGAACTGAAAACTCTTGGAGATTTCATCTTCTCCTATATTTTGGATGGCCTTGAAGAATGATTTCGTTTCAGGATCGGCTCTGAACAGTCTGCGAAAATGCATTAGAAGTACATTACTTTTGAACACTAAACAGATCGTGTACTTTGTGTTTGAATATAACAAAATTGCAATAGCAACATTGCTCTTAATTTTCTCCTCTTCTCTATCACAATTGTACATTTTGAATTTTAACTCTTGTAATAACAAATAGTTTATTTTCTTACTTGTTTCAACATCACCAATGTCCTTCTTGGTTCTACTATGGGTATTAGAAAATTAATAGAAATATCTATACATAGAAAACATTGAAATACAAACAAACTTTTTTATTGTTTGGGGAGGTTCGTTTACCTTCCCAAACAATACACGTGATACCTCTAGTATTGCAAGCGTCCATAGGCTACAATAATCATTTAGCATCAGACGGGCTGTACACTCGATTGCTACTTTCATGATATAAAAAAAAAAATTACTTACGACAAATAAAATTAACTAACTTAATAAATAGTAGTAGACCATATTTGCCAGGGTTCGAATACAGTTGTGACCACGAGCGTTGTATAGCGTATACATCACGGCGGGAGAGACCAGTGATGGGGTGTACTTCGTCTGGGTTTCCTCCCCACCATAAATTATTGATTAAACCTCCAATACCTGTAAGATTAATTTAATTATATACTTATAACTACCCAACTGGAAATAATGTTTATAAAAGTGCTTATGCACTTTTGCAAACAGTATTTTTATAAACAGTACATACTTGTATATCATTTATATTTTTATTACCAAATAACTGTGCTTGCATAATGGTTTAAAAGGTGTAGTAGTAAAATTGTACGGTATAGAGATAGGAAATATTACCTCCCAGAAATGACAACGTACGTGGGGTGCCATGGGGATCTTAGTATATACTATGATACCCTGCTTCATCATTATCATCACACACACATATATATATATATATATATATATATATATATATATATATATATATATATATATATATATATATATATATATATCATATAGGTTACAAATTGCAAATAAAATTTATTAAATTACGATGTGTCATAAATATGATATATAGAGCTACATAAACACTTAAATATACTTATTTTAATTGGTGTTTAAACTACTGTAAAAGTTAACATAATGCAAACATTTAAATAATTGAGCATGCTGTTACAATAAAAGTAATAAATATTAAAATTAATATTCTTACCAATCATATTTAAAAATATTATCTATTATCGCCACTATCAAACAATGTAAGTCTTTTAATTTGAGTATTTTTTTAGTATTTATTTTTTGTAATATTTCTTTTTGTGATGGATTCGAAAGCAATTTAATAATATTTTAAATTAATGTTTTAAACACTCGACAATATTTATATAATTTATCGACACATGAGTAACGCGTAAACAATGGTGATAGACTGTTGTGTTGAGTTCATGGAATGAACGTGTAGATATGTTTATTAAGTCCTAGTACAAGTCGTACAGAGGAAAAGTTATGATAAGACAATATAAAATGTGAAAAAGAGTTTAATATCTCTTGACGCTTTAATATGAGCATGTATTTTTTAATGACCTATACGATATTTGCATATACTGGCGAGGCACTATAATGAAGCAGATCAATTGATCTATCGTGATGAATTTAAAAATACTTAACCACGATGATTTTCAAGAGGAATCGCATGGAGGACAAGTTGATAGGGTATTTTTTATGGGTGATAATGGAAATAGTAACTCCACTTTAGCTATCGGTATACGCAGGCGGTGTATCGCGGTGTATGGCGGTGATCCGACATCGCTAGCGAGTCCGTGATAGAATGAGATAGCAACGTTAGACGTCCCATTCCAACTCATGGACTCGCTTTCGATAACGATTCCATCAATGGATTCGCTTGCCGTTTGTCTAGGGCGTGTATTGCAAATCATTTGTAATTCGTGTGAAAGCGAAAGAATTTGGTGATAAATTGTATACTCTGTTACGAGTACTACACGGAGAAGTGTTATGTCATCACTACTTATATATTTTTATTAATCAAATCATTTGTTCTAAGTACCAAAGTAAGGAAGTAACATAATTATTACGTTATTTACCTACTATAACTACAACTCTATTAAGTCGCCATCGTTTTACATGAAGGTGCCTGATTTGACTTATTAGTATAACGGGTAACGAGTCCTTCGAAACACGAAAAGTGTGACAATCATTTTTTCAATCAATCACAACCATTGACTATATTTATTGTTCATGACATGACCTTATATATATGTGTATAAGTGCTATATTGATGATAAGTAAAAAATGTATAGTGCCTATTGTATTTGTCGTCAATCATCACAACTAACCCAGTTATGCCTCCGCTTATTTTTATTACTCTAGGAAATTACAGTTAAATGGCACATGACATAAAGTAACAGTCGTAAAATTTAAGAGAAAATATATTTATGCCAATAAACTACTTAGTAACTAAATGGGTATTAGCTTTTAACCGCGACTTGAGTGGTTATGGTGCTAAAAGGTGATACCACTTAAAAAACTCATTCACATCACAAATATAATGTTAGCACACCATATAGAATTCAAGATTTCTTATACAGTGATTTTAATAAGGAGATGCAGAGTTTAACTATTTAGTTTCCATAATATCACTATTTAGATTGTGGTATCCTTACTCTTCTTACTTATAAGTATTTAAGTAAGGATTCAAAAAATGTTTAGTTGAAAGAACGCGTTTCTTTTTGTGAACACGGAACGCCACTGATGGCAGGAAATGTCATTTCTGACATTGACATTGGACAGTTTTGAGAGACAGTTAATTGACATTGACCATTGGACATGTCCTGAAAAAAAAGGCGGGAAACTCGAATAAGAACAAGCGGGTTTTTTAAATTTTTTTTATTAATTTATTAAAACTATCTCTATCAATTCTTATTATTGAATAAAATATTATATTTTCACTAAATTCAGCGACAGTAATATAATTAGCATTCATGGGGAAGCGCAGTTGTAGAAAAAGGAAAAAAACAAGATGACGATTCAGGTGATGTAGACCATGAACCTTGTAATGACAAGGATATATATTCGGAAGATACTTCTACTGACTCAGAATCTGAAATTGATAAGGCCGATAAGTATAAACCTTACTACGTCACAGATTATATTAGAAGATATCCCGAGGAATCCCCTGGGACAGAATTTGTTGTCTTTGTAGAATCCTCAGATAGTCAGAAAACCATTGGATCCAGAGACTTGCTCTCACTCTCCTCCTGTTTAAAACGATTTAATAAAGGGGTAACTTATCTTAGATCTATAAATAAATTCAAAATCGGAGTATACTTTCAAAAGCCAGACTTAGCCAATGCTTTTTTAAATAATAAAACTTTTTTAAATGACTACCATTTTAAGGCCAGTATTCCTGCTTCTTCAACAGAAGTTACAGGCGTTATTAGAAATGTACCTACAAATATATCTAATAAAAAAATATATACTATGATATCGAGTTCTAAGAAAATTATTGCTATTAAAAGAATTTTAAGAAAAAATACCTTGACTCATGGATATGTGTTACAGCCAACTCTAACCGTGACAATTACTTTTGCTGCATCTGTATTACCTGAATATCTGGATATTGGAGGTTGGCGCCACAATGTCACTCCATATATACCACCAGTTAAACAATGCTACCGGTGCTTGAGGTATGGACATTTAGCTAAATTCTGTAAGAATTCTGAGCGTTGCAGCATCTGCAAAGGTGAGCATAATTATAAAACTTGTACAACTGGAATGGAAAACGCTATTTGTGTACACTGCAATGGAAATCACACAAGTGTATCACCGCAATGCCCTGTTAAACAAAAGAAAATTGCTGAAAATAGATCTAAATTCAGACCTGCTTCTTTTGGAGATATACTTAGCACTGAAATATTTCCTAAACTGGGTAACAAACCTAAAAAAAATGTAGACCTAATTTCAATTCTAAATTCTGATAACAAGAGTTTATCACTTTTAATAGAAAGCATAATCAAACTTATTTCACTACATAACACAAAGAACACATCTATTAACACTAAAAGTGTTTTGAATGTGTTATATGATACTTTTGGTAATAGACCTATTTCACAAAATTCAATCGAGACCAATTAACTATCATACAGTGGAACGCTCAGAGCCTACTGAGCAATCGACATATTTTTACACAATTTTTAAATGAACATCATATTCACATTGCTCTCATCTCAGAAACTTGGCTAAAACCACATTACAAATTAAAAATTAAAGATTATTGTATAGAACGAAATGATTGTGGTAATAACCACAATGGAGTAGCGATTATTATACATAATAGTATTAGATATAAAAAACTTCACTCTTTTTTCGACAATTCTTTGCAAACTATAGCTATTAGTATTGAAGTTAATAATTCTTGGTATTCAGTTGCCAGTATTTACTGTCCTACCAATAGTACACCTAGTTTTACTAAAGCCAAATTTAAGTTCTTTTTGGAGTCTCTTCCTAAACCCACTATCATATCTGGAGATTTAAATGCACATCATACTATGTGGGGTTGTACCTCCACTAATACAAGAGGTAAAGACATTCTTGATTGTTTAGATGAATGTAATTTGGTACTATTAAATGATAAGCAAGTTACTACTGTTGGCTCTCATATTTGGAGACCCAATGGCCTTGATTTAACTATGGTATCCCCATCCATATCATTAAAATGCGAGTGGTCGGTTCATGATGATCCGTTAGGAAGTTATCACCTGCCGACTTTTACTAAAATAAACACAAAGAACTCTTCATCAACTCCGTCAGGTGAACAACATGCTCCTATAGATGAAGTTAATAAACTTTTGTTAAATCGTATAAACCTACGTCTCGTTAATTGGGATCTTTATTCTGAAACTGTTAATCAATTACTTTTGGATTTCGAGTATGATGTCAATGAACCCTTAAACAATTACAATAGATTCTGTAAAATTATTTTGACAGCTGTGGAACGTTCCGTTCCACGTAGGAACTTATCAAATAGCGGTGCAAATACTTCAAAGAGGCACAAACATATTGCAGTACCTTGGTGGAATAACAGGTGTGCGACAGCTGTCAATGATAGTAAAGCGGCTTACCTTAGGTTTAAACAAAATCCAACTCTCGATAATTACATAAGTTTTAAAAGAGTTCAAGCTGTTAAAAAGTTAGTAATTAAGCAAGTAAGACAACAGGGGTGGCAGGAATTTTGTTCCAAATTTAATAGATTAACACCAATTTCCACTGTTTGGCAAAATATGAGAAAACTAAATTCAAAACATCGTCAAAATCATTTTAAAGATATATCATGGGTCAATGATTTTTTACGCAAATATACTCCTGATTTTGTACACTCACCTTTTGATGACAAACAGTTTAATTCTGTTAATTCATGCCCAAAATTTCTTACTGACCCATTCTCAATTGATGAAATATCCAGTGCAGTAAAATCTAGAAAAGATACAGCTAGTGGCCTTGATCGCTTAACATACAATATGTTTCGATTGCTGAATAAAATAAACCTTACTAAACTCTTACAAATTTTTAACGATTTATGGAAGGACTGTATTATCCCACCAGAATGGAAAATGGATTGTTTGATTCCAGTAATTAAACCCGGTAAAGATCCTACAAATTTCGACTCCTATAGACCTATAACATTGACGTCCTGTGCAGGCAAATTATTCGAACAATTAATAAAACAGCGTTTAGAGTTCTTTATTGAAAGTAATAGTATATTACCATCGAATCAATTTGGTTTTCGCCGTGGATATTCAGCGAGAGAAAGTTTATCGAACTTCTATGTAGACCTAAGTACTGATTTGAATAACGATGAATATTTTATATATGTTTTTTTAGATGTCGTAGGAGCTTTTAACAATGTAAATTTAACAGTTCTATCTTCGATTTTATCCTCATTTCTTCCAATGAAACTTATCGAATGGATTTATAATTTTCTTAGTAATAGAGAAGTGTATGTTAAAGTAAATAGTAAATTAATAGGACCTAGGTTAAGCTCTAAAGGAGTATGTCAAGGTGGTATTCTAAGCCCGCTACTATATATTTTATATATCTATAAACTTAATTCAATTTTAGGAAACAGTGTGAACAACTTGCAATTTGCCGATGATTTATTAATTTATATAAAAGGAAAGAATATTATTGATATGCAATTAGTGTTAAATGAGTCATTAAAAAGACTTGAGAAATATTTTTCTCTTCTTTCCCTCGATATTAGTTTAACCAAAAGTAAAGTAGTTGTTTTTCATCAAGTTCATAAATATGTTCCATTAATGAATATTATATATAATAATCAAACTCTTCCAACAGACTGTAGCGTTAAATTTCTGGGGGTAATTTTTTATCAAAATTTAAAATGGGATCTATACGTTGATTGCTTAGTAGATCGTGCTTTAAGAGCCACTAATATAATAAGATCTGTAATTGGTCGTAACTGGGGAGCTGATCCTAAAATTATCCTTTTACTTTACAAAACTCTTGTTAGAAGTAATTTTGATTACGCTTTCTTTTGTTATGCCTCAGAACATAAATTAGTAGAAAAACTCGAAAAAATTCAAAATATGAATTTAAGACTTATTTTAGGTGCTATGTATACTTCTCCAATTATCTCAATGCAAGTAGAATGTAATTTGCCTCCTATCCTTCTTCGTTTCGAATACCTAAAACTCAAATTTCTCTTCAAAGTTTTTTCAGTTTCCAATAACCCACTCATACTCAAATTATTAAATTGCCCCATTTCTATGTTTTTGAATAAAACTATTGTCAATGATTTGAATTTACGAGATGAATATAACATCTATAGTAGTAAGATACTTCCTTGTTATAATGGCCTTTATGAGAGTAACTTCTGTAAGATCAAAATTGTTATACGTAAAGACATAAAAGAAAAGCACGATATGTATGAGACTTTATCAGAATTTATTGACTACAGGCAGATATATACAGATGGTTCCAAAAATGCACTTAGCACTTCAGTGGCTTTTTACGATTTGTCAAATAGATTTGGTCACGGTTATAAAATTTCAACTTTGGCTAGTATTTATACAGCAGAAGCAAAAGCTATATTTTTAGCATTAGAATACATAGAAAAACAGGTACTATATTCGAAATGGATTATAATTACAGATAGTATGAGTGTTCTTATGGCATTAAAAAATAACACATTCATTTCATCATCAAACTACTTAATTCAAGAAATTCGTAATAAATATTATCATCTCTGTACTATATATGGAAAAGATATTATCTTCATCTGGACCCCTTCACATATTGGAGTGTTTGGGAATGAACAAGTAGACACTTTGGCTAAAATTATTAATTCAAGTGCTGCTCGTGTTCAAGATTTACTCCTTTGTTACTCAGATTGTAGTATTGGAATACATAAAATCGTTACAACTAAATGGGAGGAGCATTGGACTCAAATATTACAGACTAAAGGCAAATGGTACCGCAAAATTAATTGGCGTATTGGAAAACCGTGGTTCTGCAAAGGAAAGGACACAAACAGAAAATTTTACACCAATATTTGTAGATTACGAATCGGCCACGGACATTTCAACGAACACCTGCACCGAATGGGCATGATCGCTTCCCCATCATGCACATGGTGTAACTCAAATACAGCCCAATCTCTACATCACCTTTTTTTTGATTGCTCTGAATTTGTCATTCAAAGACACATTATGTTTGACGAACTTAGGATTATCTTCAAAAAACCCGAAAATATCCCGCACTCAATCCCGCTTCTCTTAAGATTTCCTTCTTGTTTCAAAGCTATTTTCACTTATTTTACTACAACATTCAAGGAGCTATAAGAATACTTTTATTGAATTGCAAGACAATGATTTTTTATAATTATTTATTTTTAATTTGATAAATCCACTGGTTTAAGAAAACTCAAGAAAAGATATTTATGAAAATGTACTTACCGGATTTGACAAATGAAATATTGAAGATTATGACAATAATTGAAGCGACATTAGAAAAATAAAATTCCAGACAAATTATCTTTCTGAAGACTAGGCAGCATGGTCTCCGACCTTAGCCTGTTCCAAACGGAACAAACGTACTAAAAAAAAAAAAAAAAGTGAATTATAAGTTTCGTCGTTTCAGTGACGTATCAACATATTTGTTTCGTATTCTATTTAATTATATTTGTTTTAATGTAAATTTTGTCTAAACAAAATGTCTATTGTAAGTGAAACTGCGATAAAAAATATAGGGAAAGTACTTAATGATCCATCGAGGCCTATGAAAGAGCGTTTTCGAGCGCTTTTTACCCTTCGAAACTTGGGCGGCGAGATTGCTATACAATGCATTAGCCAGTGTTTTGCCGATAAATCTGTGCTGTTGAAACATGAATTAGCTTACTGTTTAGGTCAAATGCAAGATAAAAAAGCTATACCTGTTCTACGAGAGGTACTAGAAGATATACATCAGGATCCCATTGTCCGTCACGAGGCCGGTAAGTAAATTAATGTTATCAATAATATTTCTTTACGTATTAGATATATTTTGATAAAAATATATCCAGTTAATCCCTCAAAATATATGGAACATTGTTTAGTTTACAGGAATGCAACCTTTCTGTTGTTACATATTTTAGTTTTTACTAACAGGTTGTGTGTGTTAAACATAGGTGGATCGAATCTATGTTTATAAGTCACTTGAAGGATATCTATTATATTCAATTCTAAGTAATCATATTTTAATTACAATTGAACACTAATTGTAGCTGTTATTATTTATCTATATGCTTGTGAAATGTTTTCAGAATCAATTAAATATTTAGGTAATTATTTGAGAAATAAATTTTTTAATTATAAACACAAATTTTCTATGTTGTAATTGAATTTTTAAAGAACAAATTTGCTTATTTTCTTGTATATATGCCATGGAATAAAAAGATGTTAAACAATATTTACAACTTATTTGTATTGTGGTATTTATATGTTAACATAAATATTCTATTTTTACTTTTATAAATTTGGGATTTATATTGTCTAACCAAATTTATGAATTAAAAAAATTGTATATGTGTTTTAATTTATGGATTACTGTTTAATTTGAATTAAGACCAGTCTGTGTCAATGCAGAAAACAGACATGTGTGTAAGAGTGAAGTTTCCAGTTGTTTTTGCTTATTTTCTAGGAGATGTAGTGTAGAGCCGATTTAAGAACATTTTTTATGCAACATAGAATGGTAAATAAGTTGACAGCCCAACTAAAAAGAAGGGTAACCATTACCTATAGGCATTAAAAGCATCAGTGCCATTTTAGAATATATTGTTATGGTCATATAATCTCTCATACATTTCCATTTTTAATGACTTAGATATTATGCTTTCATATCTTAAAAATTAATTAGTGTTAAATTTTTTATTTTCTAGGTGAAGCGCTGGGAGCTATTGGGGATCCAAATCTGCGGGATTTACTTGAGAAATATAAAAATGACCCTGCAATAGAAGTGGCTGAAACATGTCAAATAGCCCTGGAGAGGCTCAACTGGGTTGCTAATGATGGATGTAAGGAAAATTTATCTAAAAGTCCATTCTCATCAGTTGATCCAGCCCCACCAAGCAGTGAGAACAATGTTGACAGGTTGACCAAAATTCTGATGGACGAAAATAAACCTTTATATGAAAGATACAGGGCCATGTTTAGTTTGAGGAACTTGGCGACTTCTGAGAGTATTAATGCTTTGGGTGAAGGTTGGTATTATTTTTATTGTACATTTACTCAGTAATCTGTTACCAGAGTTTAACTGTATAAAGTTATTCAAGAGTATCTTTGTAATACTTAGTCAACCTAGCAGCTGTAGTTCCAAATGCTTATATCTGTGGGTAAATATGTCCCTGATGAATTGGCATAACAAATCTTACATTCAGACATTCTCTATGAGACTGGCATAGTCACCCAGGTGTAGAAAAATTTAAATGCAAAGAAGAGTTTACTACACTTATTTTTGTTGTGGCTATGCATCTATAGATCTTATTATTATTTTTATTAAATATCCCTCATGTACAGACTAGTTATATTTTTATATATTTGTAAGATTTTTTGAAATCAGCTGACATCAACTTTGAGAATATAGTAAGAATTATACAAGTAAACCCTTTGCATTAAAAAAAAGTATTATCCATTCAGAATTGGTTAAATAGAATAGATTATTTATTTATTAGAGAATAATTATGAGATATCACATAGATAACATGTACAAAAAAAAATAGAATTCTTTTCTTATTTAAGTCTATTGAAAGGGCTAAATGTAATATGATTATCATTATTGCATTTCAGGTTTTAAAGCCACTAGTGCATTGTTTCGTCATGAGGTGGCATTCATCTTTGGCCAAATGCAGGATGAAAGGAGTATACCATACTTGAAGGAGAGATTAGAAGATACAGCTGAGCATGAGATGGTGCGGCACGAGGCTGCTGAGGCATTGGGCTCTATTGCTACTGAGGAATGCACTGAAGTGTTAAAAAGGTATTTTGGTTTTATTAATAACTAGCTGTTTTTCACTGCTTTGTCAACATGAATAGGTTTATGAAATATCTTATATGTTAAAGTAGGATATAATCTATGCATATACTAAATGTCATTCAAATGAATATGAATCATGCCGCAAAATTGTGAAATAGTCTTTCTTATAGCGCATTTCCTTTATACTATAACTTCTGATTCTTTAAATGTAGCATGAAAAAAGCAGTCAGCGAGCCGTTGAGAGTAGAATGTTTTATTTTTGGTTGTTCACTTTCATGGACCATATTGTCCCTATGTTCATTCAAGATGGTGTGGTTTTATGTCCTAAAACTATAAAAAAAAATTAACCATTAAAGTGTGCTTGATTAATAAATATATATTTAAACATTTACAAACTTTCATATTTATAATATTAGGAGTAAGATGATGGTGCATCCGTTTTTTACATGTACTATAAAAATTCGGGTTAAATGACCAATTTTAAAGGCTGGCAACACATTGGCAATTTCTCTGGTGTTGCTAGTGTCTATAGGATGTGGTAATTAATCACTTAGTACAGGGGAATAGTATACTTCTTTGATGTTCTTACTCCAAAAGTACCAATTTCCTGATTTATATCACTTCTAAACAATGTAGTGTAGTAGTAGTTTCTAAGTACCTCAAATGTAGTGTACTGTGATCAACATTTGATATTTGAATCTAGTTTCAAAAGACAGGACTAACTAACAATAGTAATTTTAGCTCTCAAATTACTCTGTAGAGGAAACAGAGGAGAGACAAAATGCCAAAAGGAAGATTAAGCAAAGATATTGAATATATATATAATATTATTATTCATTACATATATCCTATATCTTTGGTCCTATATCCTATATATTTTTTGTTTTCGCAATTGTTTGCTTATATAGGGCTATTTGCTCATAATCGATCTTCTGAATGAGCATTTTGGTTCAATAAATGATTTTTCAAATTACAGATATTTGAACGACCCGCGTCCTGTTGTACGAGAGAGTTGTGAGGTGGCTCTTGACATGTCCGAGTATGAAAATAGTCCAGAATTCCAATATGCAAACACATTGGTCACTGTCGAGGGATAGTGTTGACATGGCGTTATATAGTTTTAATTAATTGTAACGATTCATGCTGTGCATATTACTTATAACAATTTGACTGTTTACGAATTTTATATACTTTATGATTTAATACATAGTTTTTATTTATATATTTTTTTTAAATGAAACAACACAGTTGATTGTATTTAGCCCTAGATTAGTATTGTAGGAGTCGCAATGCATATGATATTAAGGGCCATAACATCTTTAATTTGGGAAAAAATATTTTGATATATTTACACTTTTAAAATTAAGAATTGTTACATAACATTAGAGATTAACTATCGTTTTTGCACTATGATATTGAAATGGTTAATAAAAAATACAATAGTATTTCACTTGAACATAAAGATTTAATACATTCGCCGATAGCTACAGTATTGAATTGCATTCAGTATTGTTGATAATGTAGAAACGAAATAAAATGTTTTTTACTACAATAAAATATATCACTATTATTATTTGCCTTGTTAGTCATCATGCATATATTGTTGTAAGTATATAGAAGACCGAGTATTAATAAAATAATATATAAATAATAAATTATTAATAAACAATGGATTATAAAATTATATACTCTATTTTAATAAAACTTAATGATAATAAATGTAAATAAATAAATGAATAATTGATTCTATACATATTATAATATAGTTTCCTGATAATCAATATCTTTGACTTATACTACATAAATAAAAAATTGATTGAATATTTTGCTTAGTTACATATTTTATTTAGTGATTTTCTGTAATACCATACCATATTAGTCGTTAAATGTCCACTGTTGGCAGGCGGGTTGGCAACTGCAGGCTTTGGAGATATTTTAAGAGGGATGCTGCTGCCCATCCTTCGATCATTACCTTAGTCGCCTGTTAGGATACCCACAGGAAAGGAAGGGATGGCCGTGTGGTCCCGGTATAGAATACTTTCTGTATTAATTAAAAAAAAAACTTAGATAATTTTTCATTACGTTTAATTGAAATAGACTATATATCAAAGTTTAAAACGAAATATATGAGTCGTAGTTACATTAGATAAACCTTAATTTTGAAATGATACTTTTATGCGAATATGAAAATATGATATTTACATGGTCTTTCCTTTGTTTTGTGCATGATAATGGAACGGAAATCCCGCCTGTATTAAAGATATACATAGAGCACCAATGTGACATAATGCGTAAGGGTGAAAGCAGATCAGTTGGTCCATCGTGATGAATTTATCGAGAATGAAGTATGAAGGCTTCTAGCTGGGACCGCCTGAAGATTGATCTGATATTGCTAGTAATGGGGCCGCTAGACCCCGTTATTAAAAATTTACTCTCTACGGTCTTTATAAGAGGGTTATATTTCTTTGCTCCTTTGGTATTCTTGGACTTGTTCGATTTTATTGTTAACAATATACTGCGACGAAAGGAACCCAATGGTCAAAGGATAAGTAGCAGCGTCGTTCTTCAAACATCAAAGCTTAATTGCGGTTGCTATCCCACCTGCCAAGCGTGGCAACAACTGGCAAAATTTCCCTTATGGGGGAGACTAAGTTCAGCAGTGGACAGTTAACGGCTGATATAAATACAAAAAATATACTTTCGGTCGATTTCCGTGCGGTAGGTATACTCTCAGAACCATATTTAATTTCCGTCGAACTCGTCATGATGGATCGAATAACATAGACTTGGTAAAAGTCGTTTGTTTGGGTACCTCTGTCCCATTCGTGTTTCAACCGTAAAGCAGTTATGTTTGCATGACTGTGTTTCGGTTTGAAGGGTGGGATATGGCGTGAATTTACTGGGTACAGAGAAATAACGCCTGAGTCCTCAGGAATGGCAACGCATGGGGGTATCATGGGCGAAACAGTATACTCTGTTATGTCCATGGTACTGCTCATGTCTATGGGCGACGGTTACCACTTTCCATCAGGTGGGCCGTCAGCTTGTTTGCCATTCTAAGTCGTATAAAAAAACTCTAACTTCATTCTTACCAATTATTCCTCACATTGTTAGCGTCTACCGATAGCGCAGGCGAGGTTACCATTCCATTGTCATCTCTAAAAAATGCCTATAAATAAAAGACATAGACATATATCTAACTTTTGCCGATGCTCAATATCGATAGTGAAAAGAATTCCCTTTTTATCTTTACAAAAGTGTCGACCCACGTCACATTAAAATAGGCCGAATTGCAAAGTTCGACAATTTGTATACCTACCCACTATATTTACGAGGGTCAACGACTGACGCACTGTTTTTACCTAGACTTTTACTCAACTGTACACCAACAGAATATTATCTTCCATCACTGTGGTTATTGTATTCACTAATGAGATCCCAGGTTTAATACCCGGTCGGACCTATTTACACAATGTACATTTAAAAGTCTAGAGTGTTTTGGGTACTACTTGTGCTCCTAGATATTTATTATCTAGTTTCTCAACACGATGTCCTAGCTTAGAGACTCGGCGATAGGTGTGATTGGGTGCCATTTATTATTAAAAAATAACGTTGACCAGTTTGATCCGGTTTTTTTATAGAAATCAGAAATGATAGAGACAGAACGTTTCTCGTTTTTTGGATTCGTTCACGAGGTGCCTATAAGCAAGACCACATTGAACCTGGTCGATGAGCTTAGTGCAGTAATATTGCAGCATTCGAATGGAGACAGAGCTGTTCGAAGATATTACAACAAATATGATACGCCATTTATGGAAGAGAGATATAATAAAATATAGAGTGCATTGCGCACTATGTGTAATTTTATTGATTGAATAATTAACTGTCTTAAGACTACCTGCATGAATTAGGATAAAAGGTTCCTTTTGTGTTTATTTAGGACATGGACTCTCTTTGTGACAAATCTAATACAAATACGCAGCTTATGGGGGGAAAGGGATTGTTAGCAATGAAGTTTGACAGCCCCATTGCTAGCAATATGCCTTATTAGGTCGACCTCCACGTGGTTCCCCCTGGAAACCATCGTGAACAATTCTTGTTGAATTCGTCATGATGGGCTAACTGACCTGCTTCATCCTCACCTATCATCCTTCACTGGTGCCCCGCCGGTGTATACCGATAGCGCGGGTGGGGTTACCATTCTATTATCATTCATTAAAAAAAAATACGCAGCTTATTCGTTATTAAGTAAAAAATATCTAAACATACAAACTGGGGGAGAAGGGATTGTTAATAATGGGGATTAGTAGCCCTGTTACTAGCAATACACCTTGTCAGGTCGACCTCCTCGCGGTTCCCCCTGGAAACTTGTGTGTTCTATTCTAAGTGAATTCATCACGATAGGCTGATTGACCTACCTTTTCTTTCTCATCTATCATTCTACCCCGGTGCCCCGCTAGCGTATATTGTTAGAGCAGGCGGGGTTACCATTCCATTGTCATTCATTAAAAAAAAACATTCCAACTGTGGTATTTATAATATTAGTAAGTAGAATATCATTCATCGTCAGTACATAAGTGTAAGTACAGTTCGGAAGTGGAAGATAGATAAATAGATAGATACTCTTTATTGTTTCCTCCAAAAGATACAATAGTAAACTTATTATAAATATAAATAATTACAAGAAATTATCACAATGAGAAAACAATGGGCGACCTTATCGCTAAGAGCGATCTCTTCCAGGGAACCTTTGGATGAAGAGGAGTAATTATAAACAATTTGGTAGGAGGCACGATGAAAAATTTTGTTAGTTCTAGATATGGGAGATGTAATACATATAATAATATAAAAAAGATGGAGGAATTATAATAGATCTTGACTGACCTATGATAATATTTTTTTTAATGGATGAAAATGGCATGGTAATCCCGCCTGCGCTATCGCTGCGGTAAACGTTACCTATAAACATGAACTACACTATGGTTGCCTTAGCACAAAAGATTCCGATGGGTTCAACGTGCAACGGCTTAATTGACCCCATATGCGAATATAATAAGATGGTCATCTTATATGACATGGCATGCCCATGGTACTTCTCATAGAGGACTAAGGTATTGTGTCTCCATATCTTGCTATTAAGTGCCATATTTCATTCTTCAAACCAAAATACAAGCATGCAAGCTCAGGTCCTTTGATATAGACGACTTGTGCACGAAAGGAGACATGAAGTCTATGCAGAAGTTAATATGCACAATACTCTGATGCAATTAAGGCCACTTGGTATTCGGTTTTCTCTTCGTATCCAGTGAGGATCATAGCGTCAACAATCAGTTGGTATATCTACTTGTAAATTCAATATCGTTTAATATTCATATCAGATTTCAAGCGTCCTGAAGATTTAATAAAGGTATGCCTTACGTGACAGTAATTAATATTACATCTAATTGATGTAGGTGCACGATGTTAATGAATAAGACGAAATAACGATTGGGTGAAGGTTACGCCCGCAAATTTCGCGCGGTTTTCATTATTGTGGTATGCTTGGTATTTAATTGTTATAATCACCAAAGTGGTTACAAAAATTGTCAGCATGGGTAATTCCGTACCACTCGTATTGTTGTATTGTTGTTGTTATGAAGCAACTATGCTTGCATGGCTCAGTTTCAGTTTAAAGAGTGTGATACGGTAGTGAAATTACATAGTAGACGTATCCAAGCAGAAGACTTGTACAGTTTCTCTGTGGTTCTAGTAAATTTATTTACGATTTATATAATATTCTCGAAGGAACATTTTCTGTATATTTTAATTATATATTAAAAATACCTCAAAATAAAATGTAAAGCTTGATAATCAATTATAAAATTTCATTTAATAATTTTCTATCAAAAAATAAGTTAACTAAAATTAACAGTTTTATTCTATTAACAATATTGAAATTATGTTGTAAATATTTAATCAACTTAGTGATAATAAATGAATAGAAACAAGAAGAGGCAATTTATGTTTTTGATACATTAATAGGTGCTCAATCTTGATATTTCATAGTTTAAAGAGTGATATACATATATCACAGCTTTACAGCCAATATGCGAGTCTTAACTAGTGTTGCCAAGTAATCGTTGTGACTTCATAATTATCGATTGTTTAATTGGGGACACAAATAATCGATTACACAATTGACAATAAGATAAAAGTACGACTTATAAAGTCGTACTTTAAGGTTTGCAAATAATCGATAAAATACGAGTAGTTTTTTTTTTTTTAAGGGTGATAATGGAATGGTAACTCCGCCTGCGCTAACGGGATACGCTGGCGGAGCACCAGTGAAGGGTGATAGATGAGAATGAAAACAGGCCAGTTAGCCCATCATGATGAATTCATCAGAAATTAACCATGATAGTTTCCAGGGGGAACCGCGAGGAGGTCGACCTGGTTGGGTATATTGCTAGCAATGGGATTCTCAGTCTCCATTACTAACAATCCCTTTCCCCCCAAATACGAGTAGTAGTTGTAGTAATAAAACAATGGAACAATAATATTGATATAAATTTGAATGGATAATACTGTTTTGAACTATCTGTCATTATATTTAAACTAGATTATTGATATTGCATTCAATTATTACCGATTATGAGATTGTAATCTATTATACCATACCATTTCAATCATTTACTGTCTACTGTTGAACATAGGCCTTTTTCTATTGGGTGTTTTGCCAGTCGCCTCTTACGACATCCACGAGAAAGGAAGGGGTGGCCCATTCTATGCCGGGATCACATGGTATAATTTATTAAATAGCGTTAATTTTTACATAGACACTATCGATTAAGTGACGTGATATTTTCGATTTAATGATAATTGATTATTAAGCAACATTAGTATGAATCTAAAGGCGGGTATAAAATCAATTTATGATAAATCGGAAATTAAATTTCATCCTTTGCGAATTCTAATTAGCTATTGATTTTCTTGAGTCTATTTTTAATATTTATACAGGTATGTGTACTGACAGTACATTTGAAGCGAATAAAAATAGATAAAATGTTTTCAATTTACCTAATTTACCCTAATATAGTTTTTTTACCCTGTTATGGCGGATGAAAAGTCAAGTTAACCTCCACGCGGTCCACCTTAGGAACCATTGTCGTTAAATCCTGGTGAATACGGCACAATAGGGTAACTGACCTACCTTCATCCTCATCAATGATTCCTTGCTGGTAGATTGCAGGGCTATACCAATAGCGTAAACTGGGTTACCTTTCTATTTTTACCTATTAAATAAGATATTCTGCATTACCATTGGTAAGGATATTATTCAGAAGTACGCATGAATTGAACTCTTTTATTTATTGAGATTAGTAGGTATGTAGAAAAAAATACTCTTTTATTAGAATTAATTTAAGTTCTGTGTTATAGTACCTATTTATTTTTAATACCCGAGGCAATATGGATGTTTTCTATCTGGGCACGAAGTCATTGCATTGCATTGGGGAGGCTATGCGAAAAAGAAATAATACTTCTCAGCATAGACCTCCCTCATAATGGGGTTTGCCAGAAGTTGCTATGCTTCGTAAGCGGGTAGGCAACTGCAGTTAGGCTTTGATGATGTTTTAAGACGCTGCTATTCATCCCTCGACCACTAAGTCCTTTTATTTGCCTCTTATGACCATTGGAAAAGAAGGAGTTGTTTATTGTATGCCGGGATCACACAGCAGACGGGGTCACCATTCCTTTATTATTCATTCCATTGTTGGTCTTTAAAAAGGTATATACTTTCTTCTAAAAGGTTCCCAAATTGTTTAAGATCGGAAATTTCACTGCAGGTAGTTTGTTTCATATTTTTATGCACATGCCTGGCAAGTTGGGTAAAAGTATACAGTACTTACCCGTAAATAATATTAGTGGAAATTTAATTTAATATCTAGGAGACTCCAATAGATATTTTGCTCAGAGAGCGTGTAAAATTGATATAAAAATTATGATCGGGGACATAATTTCGTCGGTGGATCGCTGCATTACGAGTGGTGTATTTCTGTTGGACATTTAACTTTAATTTCTGAACGAAATTTAATTCTTTTTTCAGACGATAGGCTTTATTTCCCATTGCTTTTGTTCAATATTAAATTTGTTATAACTAAAGTACCTACATACCTAAATATCTGCTTTTTAACGGCAATATCTATTTATATCAAAATAGATAATAATTATTCGGAAGCTTTACGTGCAATATAGCCGAGGGCGTGAAGTTACTGTCTAATAAACATGTTCGTAGATTCCGTCTGTTTGTTACATGGCGATGATTATAAATGGAAACACACGAGTAATTATTATTATTGCAATCGAATTCTCTATTTGATAACACAAAGTACTTTTTTGTAATGTAACTTCGTTTGCATTAACGATATATGCTGGCGGTGAGTGATGTTAGGTGAAGGCGAAGTCAGATCAATTGGCCAAACGTAACCAATTTACTAGAAATTAATCACGACTGTTTCTAGGAAATTCGATTTGACACGTGTATATTGCTAGTAATGGGGCCACTAGCAATCGCTCGCCCCCGTTACACAGTACTTTACACCATTAGAGAATTTAATCTCGGTGCACAATCTCTATCCCACACTTTTGCGAGATCCAACATTTGCGGTATAGTATTCCCGTACGACAAAGTATGCTTTGGTGCTTAGTTGGTGAAGGAAACTAAGGATTTATTTGATTTTTATACTAAATATAATAGAAGTGCTATTTTATAAATTTTTATCGTCATTCTACAACCCATCGTTTCACTGTTGAGTAATTTTTAATATGACTGAAAATGGAATGATAATCTCGCCTACAGTATACGCGGGGTACCAGTGAATAATGATAGGCAAGTATGAAGTCAGGTCAAATGGCTCATAGTGACGAATTCATCGTGAATTAACTAGGATAGTTTCCAAGGGGGGATCATATGGAAGTCGAGGATGTATTAGCACTAATTAATGTATAAATAAATGAATACTCTTTATCATTCCTTATTTACTTTTTGAATAAATAAATAATTAAGATTATCGAAAATTATTGAATTCCTAGTTGTTGCCTGCAGCTTTGCCTTATGTGCCAAGTTAGGTTTTTTTTATCTTCGGTGAGTGCATTAGTATATTTGCAAGGTTCATCAAAAATATGTATTTATTATAAATAAATAAATAAAACTGATCAGTCGTTTAAACGGGATCCAGGAATAAACATACAAACGTTCAAACATCTTTATAAATTTTTACTTTTATAATATTAGTATGAATGGGATTTTTGGAAATTGACACTTCATTTTTCTGTTTCCATATTTCGATAAGCATTGGTATGAACGTTCGTTAATTAAGTCGTTCACGTACACAACTAAAGTGCGTGTGTTTACAAACATTTCCATAGTCTTACCTATAAGGAAATGTTCCGAGTCGCTGCATCACAGCGGCTGTACACCATAAGCGACTAACTAAATTAATTATCATTCCCGGAATCCGTTTACGTTAAGGTCAATTCACATTGGTAGGTTGGTGGCACGTGGTTACTGAAACAAAATTCGCCGATCGAACGTACATGTGAAACAAGCCGAATATCACTCGTGACACGAGTATGAATTATTTTTTAAATTCATTTATCAAAAGAAGGTGGTTCTCAATTTGTCTGCATTCTTTTTGTTGTATTTTTTTGCAAAGAAAAAAAATTATTATGGAAGGAAAATGGGCTTTATACACATAATTACGCCATCTATTTGCTCGTGTTATAAATTTAAATATTTTCGATATATAATATCTATGAAACATCTTATGGTTCAGCGGTGTGTTTCGTCAAATTAAATTAATTTTTTTGTAAAGGAAAATGCCCATACTTATTTTATGGGCTCATTAAACTCGTTTAAAAATATATATTATATCATTGTTACGACAAAACTTTACATTTTATTTGTAATCACAGAAATATGACTACTATTTATTTATTTATTTTATACAAAAATCCACAGCTCTTATGAATACAATTTACCTGCTAAGTCTCTTATAAATACAGCCAATAACGGATTTTATTTATGCAAACGAAATTTTATAATTCCAAAGCGAGGTAGGCAAGTTAGAGTGGGTGTATGCAAGTAATATAAGTGCATGTATGAAAGAAATCATGTATAATAATGAGTGTCCATAAAGTCGGGTTAATTAATATATAAAATAATTAAAATCTATGTATTATGTTTTATAATAATAATAAAATATGTAAAAAAAAGAGTAAATAGGTAGTTAGTTTCTAGGTGGTAGCAAGTTTCAAGCTTGGTGTTGCCATGATTTTCCGTTGGATGAGGTAAGTTCTCCTAACTATCCATTGTCTATATAAAAAAAAAAAAGTAAAAAAGAAAATCCTGACGGTGGTATCTAACCCGTAAGTATGAAAACTTGAAGAAAAGCTCCTTATGAGTCTTCAAGCTTTAATAAAGAAAAAATGTTATTCAGAGGAAAGAAGAAAATGTGTTTTCTGTATATTTACTAGCTTTTAACGCAGTGTTATAGAATATCGATTTAACACCCGAAGGGATGTAATGTAAATTTTAGTTTGATATTTTAGATTTTATCATATTCATTAATGTTAAACGCAAGACCTTTCTTTTCCTTGTTAACGAACAGTTAATTACCAATTCCACACATTGGAGTTATTTCTATAGAGTCGAATGTTTAATTTGAAAGAGACGAAGTAAATTCAATTCATAACATTATGAATAACATAAAAAATTTCATAGAGGCAAGTTACCAATAGCGTATTTCAAATATGAGATTTTCAGAAATTACTTTAGTGGAGTATCCTCGAACTGTGTATCTCACGGGTATACAGTAAGTTTAAACTGTAACTTCTACGAGTATTACACTAATTTAAGTATCTAGCTATATCTAGAGAGGTCCCGGGTTTGATTCCAGTCGAGCCAATTTAGAAAACGAACTCATATAAATTGGCTTGGGTTCCGCTATTCTGAGTTATGTCTAAATTGTTTGTTTTCTTATTGTACAAAATAATCTAGTTTAATCTAGACAGATGAAAAGGCAGAGATATTTTCTAGTGAGATATATAACAGTAAACAGTTTCTTTAATGTAATAACGACTGGTTTAACTTACGTGTAATTTGGTACAAAAAGCGTACTACTACTAGTTTCAAGACCATTCAGGACCCATATTCTTGAGCGGCTGTAATGCGAGCGTAAGCCTGTCTGAAGCAGTTTATTGCTCAGTAAATAAAATATAGCCTTCAGAATGTTTAATGCGAGTATACTCGAACACCTGTAAATTCAACTTCGGCTAACAAATAACCGATTACGAGCGTTCACGTTTTAACCTTTGATCAATTGAAAAAAAATCTCTTTTTGGAATTAGACAGCTGGAAATGTAATCAAACATTATGCACAAGAGTAACAGAACACCAAATCACAGACAATTTTGAAAATTAGCCCATTGAATAAACCAACCTGAGACATTATTTGCGCAAAGCAAAATGCTACCACTGCGCTATGAAGGTTTTTTTCAAGAAGATAATGATATGGCAACCTCGCCTATACTATCGGTTTATACTAGTGGAGTAGCAGTACAGGATAATAAGTGAGAATGAAGTCAGGCCGGTGAACCCAATGTGACGAATTCACCATGAATTAATCAAGACGATTTCCAGGGGGAATCCAGTCGACGTTGATCTGACAGTGTATTTTGCTAGCCGTGACATTTATTCCCTCATGAGGTTGTATATTTCAAGATTCTTTGTCTCACATTGATGATCATCATTGTTCATGACCAACATCATCAAAATTCTTTCACCCATAAGATCGTTTTTTGTTTTCATCTAATTGACTGTATGGTTTATTATAAAACTTAAACTGCAATATTAAAGTTGATAAATATCCATCATAAGGATCGGTCGTTGCTGTACAAATTACGAGTATTTTAAATAAGATATTATATTTATAAAATTTGTACAAAAGTCGATTGCTTGGGTACCTCTGTCCCATTCGTGTTTCAACCGTGAAGCAGTTGTGTTTGCATAGCTGTGTTTCGGTGTGAAGGGTGGGATAAGCCGTGAATTTACTGAGTACAGAGGAATAACACCTGAGTCCTCAGGAATGAGGGGTATCATGGGCGCAACAGTATACTCTGTTATGTCCATGGTACTGCTCATGTCTATAGGCGAGGGTTACTACTTTCCATCAGGTGGGCTGTTAGCTTGTTTGCCATTCTAAGTTGTATAAAAAAAAATTACTTAAATGTTCTAATTAGAAAAGAATCTATTGGCAAATTTCTATAATAAAAAGATTGGCATGAAAAATTTATTAAATTTTAATACTCAACTGTTTTACAAACTGAATGCGTACCCCGGAATTCGATGAGCGGGAAAAAATCAAAAGGTATTCATTTTCAATTCATGAATTTGTTAATAAATTTGCTCAGCCAGGGATAGCGTCCATTTTACAACACCGTTTCCAATAACTACGTGTTTTGGGATCGCACGCTGTTTTGTGTAATACCATCTTTTATTTATAAAGACACTTTGAAACAAGTCTTTCGCAATGCGCTGGAATAGACAACAGTTAGGTTGGGTGAATGTAACACCGAATAGGTAAGCTCAATTAAAATAAAAATAAAAAAAATATAGATGGTCATAGATTTAAGATAATACTTGTGGTCCTTTTTATAATACTTTAATTGTACGTTTGTACTATACCACAGATTATATAGAGATTAAGAATAATACAAGCCATGCATAGATTAGGAATAATTCTCTTTCTATGCTATATAATAGGTATTAACACACGTCAGTCTTTTTCTTTTTTTTATTCAGTTAAAGAAGTGAGTCGTTTTAATCGGGAAGAAATGGCGAGAATCTAAGGTAATCTCTTATGAAGCAAATTTTAGTTAAAATTTTAATGTGTAATCTATATATATAAATTATTATAGCAAATCTATTATTATAGCAAAGTTTAATATAAATTCTCATACCACCCTAGTTGGTACTATTACATCTTAATATAGCTTAAATTTTACCATTATTTTTGTGATTAATGTTGATGTAGATAGATTTTTGTTAGACTTTTATGTCTATGTCCAATATATATGTTTATGTAGTTTTAATATTAAGCAGTGAAGATTTCTACGTTTCTGCTTAGCTTCGATTCTTTGCAACGCTCTCCTTTCGGAGACTGTTTAGTTTATAGAGTTCTTTAGAATCCCATTACTGTATCAACAATGTCCATCTATAGTAGAGCTTTAGTTTAGTAATGAAATATGACTTGGATTCATAATTCACACCTTTTATCTATCCATTGGAATATTGTACTATTATTGTATTGTAATATTTATCGTACCTATTTATATTATCATATTTTATAAAAATAATTCTTCTGATAAAAATTGGCGATATGTGATATATTGGCGAAAACAGAAAAAAGAATGACTTTTATATGTCGTCAATCGCTTGAATTTATAACAATTAATTGATAACGTATTATTTTTTAGTTCTTTTTTTGATTATAGTTATTAGATATGATAGAATATTAAAAATATATTCTCTCCACTACTTCGATGCAATTTACAATAATATAGAATAAAAGTAATTTCTCTCTAGACTAACTCTCCGGTGATAAACACCAATAACAAACTAAATAAATCTAGTGATGTTTATTTATATTTAGTGTTTATTTATATTATATTTAGTTTCGCTTCCTATCACATTGGGTTTCAATATGCTTGGTGAAATGTTGGCATTTTGACTGCTATGTTTACCATAACGGGAATAGTCCATAAAGGCTTCTGAATAGTTCATTTGGGATTATAGGTAGAATCTTTAGAAGAAACATAAAAAAAAAAACCTATTCAAATATACTTGTAATTACGTTTATTTGAATAACGAATATTTCTATAGTCGCGATAATGTTTGGACTGATTTAAATATTTTTTCTTTTGTTTTTCATAATAAAGGCGATAATAAATATTACGATCATGTGTAACAAGTGTTCGCTTTAAAGAAAACACACACTAAGCAGGAAACTTGCAGTCCGTAGATACGTAATGTAAAACGTAGTCGATATTTGAAACTATGTGCACAATACAATGGCCTATTTAGTTTGTATATTCTATTAGTTTCAGGTCATGTATTCATAAAATTGTTTATCGAATAAGTATGTAGGTAGCCTTTTGTTTGCTTGATTATTTAATTACTAGCTTTTATGCACGACTTTGTTCACGTGATCGAAATATGTTCACTAACAAGGATAAAAAGTAGCCTGTATTATTCTCCATCCCATATAGTAATTGTATACTAGATTTCATAGTACATAGTTAAGCCTGAGCTATGTTTTTTGTAGTGTAATAGTTTAGGTTTTCAAGTCAACTGCTAAACATAGGCCGCCCCAAAAGAGGGGTTTATCAGTAATTGCCACGCTTGGTAGGCGGAAGTTAGGCTTTGGTGATGTTTTAGACGAATGTTTTAAGGGAGACGCTGCTGCTGATCCCTCGACCATTAAGTTCCTTTAGTCGCCTCTTACGACACCCATGGGAAAGAAAAGGGTAGCCTCTTCTGTACTGGGACCACACGGTAATCAAGTAGGACATCACAGATGAGGATTATATTTATTTATTGATTGAATTTTAATACACTTAGTGTAAATGGCGGACCTAACACCATATGACGTTATCTACCAGTCGACCCTACACAGGAATGACATATAATAATATATTGTTAAAGATACACAAAGCTATAATATAGTATGAATAAATTTATAATTCTTTTAACCGATCTTATTGCTGTAAACTAAGTCACGTATTTTAAAGAAAGGAACTTAGATCGATGAGGGAATGTTTAGCATTATAAATGAAAACATGTTATGTTAAAATATATTTTAACATAACATGTGATAAAAATATTATAATATTTTTATCATATGTCATAATATAAAGTAATATGTCAAATTGCACGACAACTACATTGCAATATTAATGTAGGTAAGTAAATAGTAACATGAATGGAAGGATATATGTACAAAATGTTAGAATATCTTATTTTCCCTATATCTGTTAATAAAACCACGGATAGAAGGAAAATCCGATGTTATTTTCGTGCATCTGCCTTTAATGCTCTCTTACGTTCGGTAGTCTTGTGAAGCGTGATTCCATTTTTTCCTCCATGTACGAACAACCTTTTGCTTTTACTTCATGAAGTCACTAGATAAAACTTATCTACATTACTAATATCAACATCTTGGCTAAAATTGTATTCCGAATGTGCGGTAATGAAAAAAAAAATCACTATTAAAAATGCTTAAATCTAAGTTTACTTGAATAAAAATTATTCATTAAAAAATAATTATTCATTAAATAAATAGTCATCGCGATGACAAAGAGTACTTAATTGTATAGATATGTTTCATCGAAATAAAAATTAAAAAGTAAATAAAAGTTTTCGTAGTAGATATACAAAGTATAAAATAAAAAAGTCTGTAGATATTTATAACAGAATTAATATAGGGCTGTATTGATTGCAAAAAAGATTATCAAAATTGGTTCAGAGTTGGTACATATCACACGTATATGTACACAAAATTATCAACAAATTGCTATCCAATCATTTTTTTAAATATTAATAAATATGCAGTTATTTCACAGGATTTAAATTTCCAATTTCGAAGTAAGTATGAATCAAGAACACGACAGTCAGATTTTCGTAACAAATTGAAATTTCACTAATTAGAGACTGGATGAGTAATAATAAAGTGAACGGTAAACAAATTCTACCTTGGCCTTTGTTAGAACTGTCATTAAAGATGTTAATAATGCTCAAAGTTATTTAGAAATTGCAATTAGAGACGGGTCCTTTATAGCGCCGTCTGTTTGGTCGCCTGTTTAACTTGGCACTCTATTATTTTAAGTCATATTACACCCTCAAGATGCCTACTAGAGAGTTAATATACTTGTAAAGAGAGGTCGAGCTATATTAAAGGTCCTGGCTAGTGTAACCATATGTTCCGATGCACTGAGGATATTTATATCGTCATAGTCGTAGAATACTGACGGATCTTTATATGTAATCTTTGTCAGATCCGTCAGTATTTTACGACTATGACGATATATGTAATTCTTAGTGCTATTGAATAGAGAGCCTTTTTATATACATAACGTTTCTGTTTCAACGTACAATCTGTGTATAATAATGTGACAGTCATCATCATCCTATCCTTATCCCAATCATTTGGGGTCGGCGTAATATGATTTTATCCATATTACAAAAAGATTTGG